GAGCTCTCCTGCTCCTCAAGGTCTCTCTGTGCCTCCTGGGTTCTGACCGGGGGAAGAAGGTGAGATGTGGAAGAACATCCAGCTAGTTCAGCCTCCCCTTTCCAACACCAGCCAGTCCGCCTGGCGCCTTTTTTCCCCTGCAAGCCCCTTATGGACAGGAAGCAGTCTGGGGGGCAGGGGCTCCTGCAGGCCCTTGCAGCATGTCAAAGGCCCAGGGTTTGGGAGAGGCCTTTGTGCCTGGCAGGCGGAACAGGAAGGTCTCCCAGCTTGGTGCTGACAAAGGCAGGTGCTTCGTAGGCAGTCTTGAGACCTGGTTCCCTCATCAACCGGGCAAAGGTCCCAAACGACCTCCTTCGGAACCTAAACAAGGATGGTGGCTCTCCCAGGGCCGGCAGTGGCAACCCTTGGTAGCCTTTAGCCTCTGCCTTTCATGTGGGAAAGTGTCTGATTTTGAGCAACACAAAAGCACACTCAGGCGGCACAAAGCACAGAGAGGGGCCAGAGGGGCCGACTTGCTTCTCTCCTGGGCCTCTTGGGCACTTTGACCCTCCTTTCCCCTTCGGGCCACCTCAAGCTTGTATCTCCTGCCCACCAATTAGCAGGCCCAAGTCCTGTCCCCTCAGAGGAGAATTTCCCTTCTTTCTGCCAGCCTGGGGCCCATGGGTCCAAAAGTGGCATCAGAGTTGGGGGGGACGCACAAGAGGGGTGGGGCAGCCTTTCCAGTGTCTTTCAAAGCCACCTCCCCTCTGGCCTCCATGTGAGGACTGTGGCAAACTGGGGCATTTCCGAGGGAGCAGAGATGGGGCTACAGGGCAGACCGGTTGCCTGGCACCGAGTCTGGGCCAGAGGGGCCTCTCTGGAGAAGGAGAGACCATGCAATGGAGCAGAGCCTTTAAGGACACTGGGTTCGAGCAAAACCTCTGAGCAGCAGAGTGAAGTCCTGTCCTGAGCCTTGTTTTGCACCTCCCTTCACTCTTGAATTGCTACACCTGACCAAAGTATTGGACTGTCCTTGGATCACATTTTCCTGGGTCTCTTTTTTTACCAACTCCTATTCTGGTCTGCCTCCCTACCTTGCTCCACTGCTTGGAAAAGGGCAGTAGCAAGCTGAGAAATGCAGGTCTTGGCAATGAAAAAGCAGGGGTGTGAAGTGAGAGAGAGCCTGGAGGCCCCCAAAGGCCAGGGACCGTAAAGAGAGAGATCCCTTCACTACTTCTGAATCTTCCTGCCGAGATAGGACAGATTGATTGATAACATGGTCTTCGGTCCCAAATCTGAGAGACGGTCTGCAGGCTATAAGAATAAAGAAACCTGCAAAGAGCCCCCAGGATCATTAGCAGCAGCCCCCTCCCCCCTCCGCTCCCAGTCATGTCTCAGCGGTTCAGCGATCAAAGACGCGCGGCTCTCCTTTTGTCCGGTCACATTGCTGTTATCCCTGTCTGATTGAGCTTCTCACTTTGACTCAGATTATCACTTCCCTTCACCGGACTTCACATCCAGTGCCAGCACATGCCTCCAGCCCAGTATTTCCAGCTATTTTCCCCCTCTGCTGTAACCTTGCAACAATTGCTGCTTCTTTGGCTATTCCTCCTCCTTTCCACTGTACGAAACACCATCCTATCGAACAGCTATTCAGTTTTGGCTGACTTACAAAACACTAATCTAAAGAGGTAAAAATGGCATGGGAAGTAGATAAGGGGCGAATGGTTTCCAGATTATCCGCTCTGGAAGAAACAGCCCTTGAAGACGACGCCTTTTGAGAGGTGACAATTTTTGAGAATTAAAAAAAAAAATTGTCAAAAATGGCTCAGTCCTGGCATCTGACGGCAACAAGGTTACCTTCTGTCTTCAGGAAAGCTTCCCTAATGTAATGGACGGGGCAAGTTCTACCCCACATCACAGACCTGCGCAGCCATTCAGAAATCCGAGTCAAGTTAGCAACGAAATCAGCAAAATCTACGTCTCTGTCTCTATCTCTCATCTA